CCCCCCACCCACGCCGATACCCAGGTCACTCACAGCCCACATAGTGCACATAGAATTCCTCTCGGCCCTCCTGGTCATTCACTCGAGACTGGATCACCTCAGCAGAATCTGGGAAGGAAAAAAGCTAGTGTCATCAGGAAGGCAGAGCCCAGACACTGAGAGCTGTTTCCACTTTCACATGGAAGCTAACCTCACCTGTCCACATCGGCCATTCAATTCAATCGCTGCTTGTGAGGTCAGGACTGTTATTATTTTATATTTGAGAAAACTAAGGCTTTCCCAGGCTCACAGTTTTGAAAAGTGGTAAGAGCTAATACTTAACTGAGCTTAAGCCTGACTCCAAATTTAATGCTTGGTTTACTATATTCAGTCGTTCTTCAGAGATCATGAGGGTTGGTTCTGGAGTCAGACAGACTGGGTTTATATGTAACTCCAGCTCCCCATCCAGTTCTCTGCTATTTTAACTGAACAAGTTATTTTGACTTTCTGGGCCTCAGTTTCTTAATCTTTAAAACAGAGATAATAGTGTTCACCAAACTTTTAGTACAGTGACTGACAACTAGCAGACAATTCAGTAAATGAGGAAGGCAGCCACTGCGTGTCTAGCCTATGCTTTGTTGTTGCTAGATACTGAGGACATAGCAATGAATCACAAGCAATTCTGACTTCCAGAAGTTCCCACTTTGATGGGGAGGATACCCACAGAAAATGACAACAAAGTTACATACACAGTGGCTGAGGTAAGAACGTGACAGAAACACACAGAAGGGAATGACTCACTTTGCCTGAAGGGAACCAGAAATAGCATCACAGGGGAATATGTGTTAAAAGGATGAGTAGGAGCAGGGCAGGTGCGCAAGGAGAAAGGGAAGGGCATTCCAAGCAGAGGGAACAGGAGGCAAAAGGTCTTCAAAGGGTATAGGGCGGATTGGTCTGGCAATGACCCTTGCTAGGAGTGGCTAGAAACCAGAGGACACAAAGATGCATGTCATTCAACGGAATTATGAAGGGAAGGGAGGGAAGGGAGAGGGAGAGCCGAGGTAGGGGAGGTCGTTTTTTAGTTCTGGGAGGTCCTCTCCGCTGGTGGCTCTAGGGGGCAGGTGGAAGGGGAAGTCGCAGAGACAGGGGACCGTGAGGAGGTAAGGTTAAGGAAAAGGGATGAAACCTAAAGTTAAGCAAGGAAGTGGGATGGGAGCTCTCCATACACAAGAATTTGGTGATGACCTCACTGGTGGGTTCGTAGGACCGCCCGAAACTCCGCGTTCTTCCCCCACGCCCCGCCCCTACCACGCCCAGACCTTCCGAGAACCACCCCGGCCCGACCCGCCCCGAACACGCCCGGCCCGGACTCCGCCCTCACGCCAGGTGCTGTCCGGCCGCCGGCACAGGTAGGTCTCTCCGATCTCCACGGTGACTTCCGGCTCGCCGCGCGCCGGGGTCGGCGGAGAGATGCGGCCCGGGGATGGGGCGGCCCCCTCAACCGCCGCATTCTCCCCGGGCCCGGGCTCGCCCTCCCCCGCGACCCCCGAAGTCGCGGCCGCCACGGCCGCAGCCGCCCCCGGGGCCGCCATCGCTGGGGTGGAAATGACGCAAGAGCCCCGCGCCGGGCTCCGGGCGGCGCGCGGCCGGGCGGAGCCTGTGACGTGGCGGCAGCTCATTGGCCGCGGGGCCGCGTCCGGGCGCCGGGCCGCTGCGGCTCAGCCGCGGTTCCTCCTCTCGGGGGAGGGTGGCTGCGCCCTGGCGCTGAGGCCTCTCCCGGCGCGGGGTCAGCTCGGGCTTTAAAGGCCCGGCCCGGAGGCAGCCAGGCCGCGCCAGCTCTGAGGGCGCCTGTGCTCCTTAACCCGCGGCCCGCCATTAGGGCTGGAGGCCTTTGGCACCCACTCCTGCCCCGCCATTTCCGCCAGCCTAGAGCGGTCACCCCTTTTCTGAAGACGGAAGAAGCGGCCTACTTGTTAGGATGGATAAAGGGGGGTGGGGGTGGAAGAGGGTCCAGGGACAGCCAGTAAACCCCTCTAATCTAGCCTTTCCAAAGAATGGGCCAGGCCCCCAAAGCAGACGTGCTCGGGACAGGAACTGGTCAGAAGTAGTGGTCATAATGGAGAGGTGCTGGGCTTAGCGACCGAGGAGTCCTGGGTTCAGACCCTACGCTGGGTAAGTTTTAAAGTGTTCATTCTCAGTGTTGATAACAGCTGAACTATATATAACTGTACAAACCATAGAACTGTATTCACCTCCCATATATATAAAGTAAGTGGTGCTCAATAAACATTCCTCTTGGCCACTCTCTGAATCTCCAGTTTATAATTTGGCTGTTGGACTTAGAATGAATTCTAAGAGCGGTGACCTCCTTGGGGCCAGAGAATGGGACTCAGGCTACAGATCAAGAAATAGGTATTTGTGGGAGCCGGGACCGGTTTGGCTCAATGGATAGAGCGTCGGCTTGGGGACTGAAGGGCCCCAGGTTCGATTCTGGTCAAGGGCATGTACCTTGGTTGCGGGCATATCCCCAGTAGGGGGTGTGCAAGAGGCAGCTGATGGGTGACTCTATCTCATCGATGTTTCTAACTCTGTAAAAAATCTCCCTTCCTCTCTGTAAAAAATTAAAATATATTTTTTAAAAAAAGAAATAGGTATTTGTGGGAGTTGGCAGTGTAAATGCTGGTAACTTGGCTTAGGGAAATGGAGTTTGAGTGAGGGCAATGAATGCCAGGTGTCTGGAGCATTAAAAAACAAACAAACAAACAAAAAAAAAAACAGCCGAAACCGGTTTTTCTCAGTGGATAGAGCGGGGCCTGCGGACTGAAAGGTCCCAGGTTCGATTCCGGTCAAGGGCATGTACCTTGGTTGCAGGCACATCCCCAGTAGGTGGTGTGCAAGAGGCAGCTGATAGATGATTCTCTCTCATTGATGTTTCTGACTCTCCATCCCTCTCTTTTTCTCTCTGTAAAAAATCAATAAAATATACAAAAAACAAAACAAAAAAAAAAAAAAACAGGAGAAAGGAAATAAAAAGTTAAAATGGTAATGTCTTCTCCCACTCTCCAACCCTCTTCATCATCTTCAATCTTGTTATTCTATCTACCCAGCGTTCTGGTGCCTCACTTTTGACTTCCCCTGACATCTTCAATTAGGGATGCTATTCCTTCTAGTTAAGGATTACCATAAACTTTGTAAATCCCGGATCAGGGTCACTCCACCAACCTCAGTTCTCCCTCCTATCCACCAACCATCATTGGTTCTTCTAATGTGCAAATCTGACTTTTCTCCAAAACCTAAACAGAAGTTTCACCCAGACCCCTGGAGTCTCCGTTGCTTATGTGTGCCAAATTACATTCTGTGTGTGTGCAAAATACAGCACCAGAGGTACCTTCTGGCTAAGAACTAGCTGAGAACTATTTCAAGTATGTCCCGACACAGTGTCTGTGGAGCTTAGCTCTCTTGCCTCCAACTCTGGCAGAACTCACGGCTCTGGTCTTCTACTGAGATCACATCCTTTCCTGGCCTCCTGCTCTTCCCTTTCATGCTTCCCCGATTCCCTTCTGGGAGTGTTTTCTCAACAAACCACTTGGATACAAACCTCCTCAGGTTACGCTTCTAGAGAATCCAACCTGATATGATACACACTTTCCTAGCTTAATACACATCCATGGGCCCCTGCTGCCTCCAGGGTAAAACCCCTGCTTCTGCCAAGGGCCATCTGGATACTTATAACATCCTTTGCAGGCCATACAACATTATCAACTTAAAAATTAGCCTGCACCCGGCCAGTGTTGCTCAGTGGTTAAGTGTCCACCTATGAACCAGAAGGTCACAGTTCTACTTCCGGTCAGGGCATATGCCAGGTTCCGGCTTCATTGCCAGTGTGGGGCCTGCAAGAAGCAGCCAATTGATGATTCATTGTTTCTATTTCTCTCCTTTCTAAAATCAATAAAAATATATATTTTTAAATTAGCCTGCTATATTTGCTCAAACATCTAATTAACTCACTCCTAATGCCTTGGCAAGGCCAGACCAAATGGTTTTGTGGGCGTTATATGGCCCATGCCCCATTCCCCATGGCTGCTGTACAAAGTCCTGCAGCTGACTGCTGCCACCTACCTGCCTTTCCAGCCTGGCAAGTCCCTGGATGGTAATCCTTAACTATGGTAATCCTTAACTGTGCCCCCTCCATCAGCAGTCCCACCAAGCCTTTCTCCTTCCCTGGCAAGCTGAGCAGGGGGACTCCCCTGCTCTAGGGGACCCTTTCCTTTCAATCTCCCTACCAGAGCCCCATGTTCCTCTGGAGCCTGCCAGGGTACAACCGTGTGTTCCTTTCCTTGGCAGCAACAGGCACAGGTGGTGGGCAGTATTTTTAACCTTACTTGGGCTCAGGAATCAGGTGGCTCAGGAGGTTGCCCAGTCTGGTGACCTTCATCTCCAGAACCTGTGACTGCCAGGAAGGCAAGAGTCAGAAATGGAGCCTGAAGCTGGGCCAACCTGGGCCTTCAATATTGTCCGAGAAGCAGAAACATTTGTTAAACAAAATGAATGAAAGGTCTTTGAACAAAATGCCAGGCCCCCCAGCCCCATCAAGTCAAAGTGCAAGAGACTTGGGGCAAATTCAGGGTAGTTAAGAGACTGGACAGGAACTAGGGTGAACACAATGGCCCAGGGAACCTGAATGGGGTCAGAAACAAGCTCACCTGCCCTCCCCACATGGGGCCCGAGAGGGGGCATTTGAAATGTGAACTTTAATAACAGCAGGTCAAAATGGAGTTCCCCAGGAACAAGAATGATCAGGCCGGTGCTGGGGTCCCCACTTCCTCCCCTCCAAGGCCTGGAGGCAGCGAAACAGTGCACCCTGTTGAGGAGGGGGGTGTCCGGCTCCATGTAAGTCCATCTGCTTGGCATCGTAAGACCCAGGATGCAGCAGGGCGTGGAGCTCCGTGGCACCGTCTGGCCCAGACCGTCCTGGTTGCTGTGGCCCAGGCTGGGCAGGCGAGCAGGCCAGGGCTGTAGGGTCAGATGCGGAAGCTTTCCTCCCGGCCATCAATGTGACGGAGCCGCAGGTAGACATCCGTGCCGATGCCCTGCAGGGACTGCAGCCGAAGGGAGCCACCGAGGTACTCCGCGTAAGCCCGCGACGTGGGCAGCCCGAAGCCAAAGCTGGGGAGGAGGAGGGATAGGACAGGAGCTTCAGAGGCTTGATCTCCAAGGCCCCGCACCCTCCATCATGGCCAAGTGGGGCTCACCCGTGCATGGGTCCTGTCTGGACGCCACTGTGCATGTCCAGGTGACCGAACAGGGGGTTGATCCGGGGGTCCTGGGTGCTGGACTCGGCCGTAGTGAAGTGGTAGTCCATGACCCGGTCCAGGTCTTTGTGAGCGATTCCCCCGCCCCGGTCTGAAATCCTGGCAGGACGTGGATAATAGGAGCTTGCCTCAGCTTGGGGGCAAGAGGGGGAGGCCCACTGCCGTCTTGTCCCTTTTAGCCAAAGGTGGAATGTGGTCCACCTAGCCTTGGGCCTTGTTTTTTGCAAGCTACATTTCTCTGTCCTTACTCTGCCTGGGCCACTGACTGCTTATACCTTCTACAAGATCTGACCTTTTCGGCCCAGCATTATAGACTATTTACTCATGACTCTTTCCCCCTTCTAGGCCCCTCACTCGCTAACAAAGACAAGGCCCTGGGGCAAGCATGTCAAACTTGCCCGCATGCCCGCGAGCCTTGTTTACTTGGCCCGGTTGGCCTTTGAGGTTGACATGCTTGCCCTCGGCCCTGCACCTGGCCCCAGACTCATTCTTATCCAGCTCATGGCAATCTCAGGACCACAGGGTTTCTTGTGACCAAGTCTCAGAGTGGGGCAGGTACTGGTTTGAGGTCAAACAGCAAGTCAAAAACATCGCCAGAACAACCCGTCCACCCTAACCCACTCGGGGCAAACCTGATGACGAGATCAATATCGTTGTTGGCGATAGTGATAACCACGTCTGGGACATTGTAGGGAGTGTCTAGGTGACTCTCCATCGTGGCTCTATTCAGGGGAAAGACCAGTAGTGGGTGGGGGGATCCCAGCCTCACCCCAGTCCCTGTCTGTCGTCTTTCAACATACCAGCCAGCCCACCTCATGGCATTCTTGAGCAGCTCAGGCAGGATGTAGTCCAGCGGCATGGGGATGAAGGGGAACCGAGCAGCCACGTGGCCATTGATGCGGACGCGGGGGGCATTGCCGTACTTGTGCTCACACAGGCGTCTGTGGAGGAGCGGGAGTTCAGACCTGGACCAGTGGTTCTCAAGGAGATGCTGCTTCTCCCATGCCCCCCAGGGGAATTTTGCAATTTCTAAAGACACTTTTGTTTGTTACAACTGGGAAGTACTACTGACATCAAGTGAGTAGAGGCCAAGGATCCTTCTAAACATCTCGGCAAGCACAGGACAGCCCCTCACAAAACAGAATGATCAGACCCAAATACTAATGGTGCCACAGTGGAGAAACCCTGTGGTAGAGCATGCTCCAGGCAAGGGCTCAGACCGAGCCTGCCCTGCCCAGAGGCACCCCCTTTCCCCAGCTCTTCAGCTGCTCTAGCCTCACCTGGCAAAGTCCACCCACTTTTCAATAATCTTCTTTGGCGAGAGGCGAGTGCAGATGATGCCGACAAAGTCAGGCTGTCAGGAGAGAGAAGGCCAGGACTAGCAGCTGACCTGCTTCTTGGCACCAAATGCTTGCAGCCTCTGGACTGCTGGAGTAGCCCCAAGTCCCTCCCAGGTGGACCCGGGTCCCAGTGCCCCACCTTGTCCTCATGCAGTGCCAGGTGATGCGTGGCCAGCATGCGGATCCCGAGCCTGGAAGTCAGCGTCTTGTCCAGGAAGTAGCGAACAAGCTTCTCGTCCTGCAAACAGCGGGGCCTCAATGATGCTGTGCCCTCCCCAGGCCCCCCAACAGGCCACCACCGCGCTGCCCTGACCTCTATGTGCTTCCGGCTCTCACGCAGGCCCTCAGCTAGGAGGGTCACCACATCTTTGTGGTCGTCCAGCAGCTGCCGCACCAGCTGGCAGTACTGGGCTTCATCTGTCTGGTCCTTGATCTGCAGGCCACAGAGTCATGAGTATGGATGGTCCAGCCCTGTCCTCTCAACCCCTCACCCTGCCCAGGCCCAGCCCTCACCGGAGGGAAGTCTGTCAGCTTCTGGAAGGCACGGATGTACAGCTCGTGCTGCAAGGAAAAAGTGTCGTAATTCACAAGAACAACTACCTATGCCTCCCAAAGGGAACTGCCATCACCCCAATTCAAGAGGTTCAAACCCCCATCATGGACTTTCAAGCCTCTGTGAATACGCAGGTGTGGGTCTGAGGCCTCTGTGACCCTGACACCTTTTGGCTGGCAAATCTTTGCCTCTCTGGTCCCATCTCCCCATCTGCCCCTTGGCTGGTAGACACACTGATCTACTGGGGAAACCCAAGCTCCCCGGAGGCCACCTCACCACGTGCAGTATGGTGGGGTTGCAGCCAATGATGAAAGGCAGGCTGCGGAAGCCCTTGATGCGATGAGCGATCCTCACTGGCAACTCTTGCTGCAAGTACCGGGCACTTTTCTAGTAGGAAAAATGGAGGGAAAGCAGGGCTGGGGTCTTTGTGGCTGGGCCAGAACTCCGGGAACCAAGAGAAAAAGAAGGGGCAGGAATCTCACCAGAAGGTGGCTGCCATCCTGAGAGCGGCCGGAGTAGAGCATCATGGTCGGAGTGAGGCGGACTGAGGGCTGCAGGGGGGGCAGGTGGGGCTTAAGCACTGGATCTGCAACCCTTCATCCCCCATGTCAGCCCCACCCCTTCCCTGGACACCCTCTCCACCTGGGGCCTGGACCCCGCCGCCCCAGTGCGCACCTTCTCCGCGGCCACGTCGATGGCGGACTGGTTGTAAAAGGAGGTGACCGTCTTGGAGCGCTCCCTCGCCATCTCCGCGTGGTGAGTGTCGGTGGCCGATGTGGAGAGGGCCCTGAGCAGGAGTGCCGGCCCGAGGAAGGGCCGGAGGGGAGGGCCCCCCCGGGGGCCGCTTCCCAGCACCGACGCCAGCATCATCGTCCTGCTCCTCTGGGCGCTAAGGACCAGGCAGATGGAGGCGACCCCCACAAGGGGCAAGGTGTGGGCAGGCGGGGCTCTGCTCTTGCCTGCGGGGGCGAGGGCTGTCGGAGGATGCTGACCAGCTCAGCCCCAGGGAGCAGCGCCCATCTACTGGGACGAAGGATGGAGAGTTGTAAGAATCCGGATCCACGCGACCCGCACCCCCCTCTTCACCTGGGCACCAGTATCCTCAGACCTGGGCAATCTTCACCCTAACCCTACCCCTTGGGCAATCTCCTTCACCTTCACCCTAACCCTAACCCTCACCTCTCAACCACCTCCCCGACACACACAGGCCCAACCCGGACCTTGCTTGCCGGGGCTCCTGGCTCAGACCCGGGGCTCTGTCTGGTGGTCCGGAGCGGAGGGGCTCCTCGGACCGGTCCAGCTCAGAAGCCTCACCCCGGCGCCCGGGCGCCCTGGTCCAGGGGACGGAGCCACCCCTGCCCAGCGCCTGCGGACCCGTCCGCCCGCCCTGCCCAGCCCCGCGGGGCCTGCGGACGTGCGGGGCGGGCATCGTGCGCCCGGGGCGGCTGCAGCGAGCTGCGACCCGGAGCCCCCGCCTGGGTCCCCCCGCGCAGGCCACTTGGTTCAGCCCGGATCCCCCGTATGGTAGAGGCCGGCCCGCGCCCTCGGCGGCCCAGCGCCATGGCGGGAGGCGGGTGCGCGCTGCGGGCGGGTCTGCGCCTGTGGCTCCACTTACCGCAGGGCGGGAGCTGGGGCCCGGGTCCGAGCGGAGCGGCCCAACTGTCGCCGCCGGGCCACAGCGCTGCCCTAGCCCTCTGTCGTGTGACGTCGCGTGGCTGTGGGCGCCCGGTGCCTCCTGGGAATTGTAGTTTGGAGCGAAGTACTCTCCACCCGGGAAGCCAGCTGGTTCTGGCTGTGCCCTGCTCCTGCACACCCAAGTAAACCCCACGACTCCCTCCGCAAGGCCTCCTCCGTCTCCGATGGCTCCCTGGGGGAGAAACGGGGGAGGGTGGAAGATCTTTAGATGTAAGGCACACAGACACAAAAAAAAAAAACCACCCTGGATTCCTTCCCCGAGGCCTGGCTTTCTCCTTCCAACCAGACCAGTTCAAACCCCAGCTCAGCCACTTACTGTCTGAGACACGTTACTTAAACTACCCAATGCTTTAATTTCCATTTTGGTAAAATGAGGATGTAGCAACCTTGGGGTTGTTGTGTGGTTACGTGAATTTCTATATGGAACGGCCCTGGAACACCGCCAGGCGTGGCATTAGCACCCATATAAGTATTAGAGGTGACCATTCATTCATTCATGCCTGCAAGTAACACTGCTTGGGTGACTGCTCTGCCAGGAGAGGAGATCGGGTCTGGAATCAAATAAAAAACCCGTGCCTGTCTGTCCGGGAAACAGCTTCAGTGTCCGCTGTGATGGGGCTAATGAGGTGAAGGGAGCACCGGGTAGGGGCCCGGACATTGGTGCAGGTGCAGCATGAGGAGGACCTGCCAGGCACGGGATCTGGACTGGGAAGGGCAAGATGGCCAGAGAGAGAACAGCTGGAGCATCTGAGGACATGGCTGCAGCCATGTGGACCCTGGGAAGGAGAGAGTGAATGGGTGTCTAGTCAGATCAGGAAGGGAGAGAGCCACTGAAAAGATTTAACGTGTCAGCTTTGCCCCTGAGAACCCTCTGGCTGTAGTGATGGGGAACATGGGGATTGGTGAGACCAAAGGCAGAGAAACCAGTGAAAAGACAGTTATTTTTTCCAAGCAAGAGATGATGGAAGACTGTTCAGTGTGTGTGTGCATGTGCTTGTGTGTGTGTACCTGTACTGACTAGATTTTTCTTTACCGTGGTTATGTATTTTATAAATAGTTAAAGGTTTTTATATTTAAAAAATAAAAAAGGTTAAGTGAAGCAGGTGATATCTTTGGAGCCAAAGGAAGGGGCTCCCCACCCCACTACGCGCACACACACACACACACACACACACACACACACTCACACTCCCTCCCACACATGCACACTCACGTTCACATATTCCCTCTCATATGCACACTCATTCACACACACACACACACACACCCCCTCTCACACACACTCTTCACACTCCCTCACACACATACACACACACTCTCACGCAGTCATTCACACACTCTCACATTCACACACTCCCTCTCACATGCACACTCATTCACACAACACACACACACACACATACACACACACTCTCTTGCACACACACTCTCCCACCCTTTCTTTTTCCTGGCAATATCCTGGAGGAAGCCAGGCGGCCACTCAGCTCCGGGGCAGGACTGCCTGAGCCCCTGGGAGCAGGGAGAGGGGAGGGTGCTCCGCCAGGAGCGTGCGCAGAGAAGCAAAGCGGGGTGCTTGCGGGGAGCCAGAGCGGAGCCGCTGTGTGAGCGGACACAGGGCTGGCACCTGTGGCTGCCACCGGGCGGGGGCGAGGGGCGAGCGCCTGGGCCCGCACTCTGCTGCCTCCCAGCGGCTAAGGTCGGACACGCAGCCCATGATCCCTCTTCCAGAAGACTGTCCGCATTTAGAGTGGACAGTTGGTCAGGCACTCTTCCAATAGCCTCATATGTACCAATTCACTCAGAATAGAAGGCCAGTTAAAGAGCTTCACAAATAAAAACAAACTAAAGGAGTTCATCACTGCCAAACCAGAATTATATGAATTGCTGAAGCGGGTTCTTTAGGAAGAGGAAGATAATAAAGATAAAAATTATAAATAACAAATACATAACTATCAACAAGTGAATCTAAAAACCAAGGGAATTAAAAAATCTGATGAACAATATTAACTGGTGAATATAATAGAATCAGAGGTATGGAAGGGGAGTGGACTGACGATTCTCGGGGAAAAGGGGAGTGGGGGGTGCGGGGAGAGACTGGACAAAAACTGTGTACCTATGGATGAGGACAATAGGGGGTGGGGAAAGGGCAGAGAGTCGGGTGGGAACCTGGTGGAGGGGAGCAATGGAGGGGGAAAAATGAGGAGCATTTGTAATAATATGAACAATAAAGATTAAAAAAAAATAAAGAAAAAAGAAAAGAAAAAATTGAAAACTTGTCTTCCAAAAATTTTAAATCTGCAAACCTTGTTTCAAATTCAGTTCTGAGGTTTAAATTTTTTTCTGCGTATTTTTAAAAATATATTTTATTGATTTTTTACAGAGAGGAAGGGAGAGAGATAGAGAGCTAGAAACGTCGATAAGAGAGAAACATCAACCAGCTGCCTCCTGCACACCCCCCAAAAGGATGTGTCCGCAACCAAGGTACATGCCCTTGACCAGAACCGAACCTGGGACCTTCCAGTCCGCAGACTGACGCTCTATTCACTGAGCCAAACCGGTTTTGGCATTTTCTGTGTATTTTTTATACGATGCAGTTTCACCTAAACTTGATTTGTTCACGTTGCATGTCCGAAAGTGTGTTAAATCTTCATTTTTCAACTGCTTTTCTCAACTAGCTTACATTTGAATGCTTTGACTTGGTCACACATGTTTGTAATAATCTGATCTTTCCTTCACAGTTTTAAGTTAAATCATTTAGTGTTTTGTTATATCAACCATGAAGGATAAATCTTGCAACCATATTGTGTCAAAAAACAGGCTTGCCCTAGCTGGTTCTGCTCAGTGGATAGAGAGGCAGCCTGACTAAAGGTTCCCAGTTCGGTTATGGTCAAGGGCACAGGCCTGGGTTGCAAGCTCAGTCCCCAGTAGGGGGTGTGCAGGAGACAGCTGATCAATGATTCTCTCTCATCATTGATGTTTCTATCTTTCTCTTGCTCTCTGAAATCAACAAAATATATATCTATATATATATAAATGGCTAAGTGACCATCACATTTGAAACAACCGAATGGATGACTGAACAGCAGGGGGGTTAGTGAAGGACGACCAAATGACCAAACAGCAGGCTGCATGGGGCTACCAGGCCTGCAGTGGGGCAGATGGGGGCGACCAGACCTGCGGGGGTGGGGGGGCGGCGCAGTGAGGGGTGACTAGGCCAACAGAGGAGGGCAGTGAGAGGCAACCAGGTTGGTGAGTGGAAGCAGTTGGGGACAACCAGGCTGACGGGGTGGTGGGGGGAGGAGGCACTAAGGGGTGACTAGGCCAGCGGGGGGGGGGGCAGTTGGGGGCAACTACGCCTGTGGGGGGCAGTTAGGTGCAATCAGGCAGACAGGCAGGTGAGCAGTTAGGAGCCAGTGGTCCTGCATTGTGAGAGGGATGTCCAACTGCGGATCGGGCCTAAACCGGCAGTCCAACATCTCCCAAGGGGTCTCAGAGTGGAAAGGGTGCAGGCTAAGCTGAGGGGACCCTGCCCCTGCCTCCCCCCCCCCCCCCCCCCGTGCACAAATTTTGTGCTTTGGGTCTCTAGTATATACATAAAAAACCAGTCTGGTGCCTTGATTTTAGTTATTAAAAACTGACATATTTTGCTGAAACTGGTTTGGCTCAGTGGATAGAGTGTCAGCCTGCAGACTGAAAGGTCCCGGGTTCGATTTTGGTCAAGGGCATGTACCTTGGTTGTGGGCACATCCCCAGTAGGGGGTGTGCAAGAGGCAGCTGATGGATGATTCTCTCTCATGGATGTTTCTAACTCTCTATCCCTCTCTCTTCCTCTCTGTAAAAAATCAATAAAAAATATATTTTAAAAATAAAAGGAGAAAAAGCATATAAATTCATTTGATGTTTAAAATTAAAAAAAAACAAAAAACCTGACATATATCTTCTTTCAAGTCCCAGAATTGTTTAAGAACCTTGGAGCAAGATAGCCAACGTACCTTGGTATGTTAGGACAAGGCTGAATAATCACTGTCTAATTCACTTAAGAAAACAGTGAACCGTGCTGATTTAAACTTTGAGATCTTATAAAATTGATAATTTTTATAGGTATCAACACATTTCCATATTTATTACCTTCGAGCATAATACTTTTTTTTTCTTTTTTCCATTTATTATTTTTT